CAGGAAACTGATTTCTCGTAAAATAAAATTTGTTTTTGAAACGAAGTGAGTAAATAATGTTACGGCATCTTCTTCGTCGAAATATCCTCATACACACGTACACCATGAAAGAAGAAGAAGAAGAAGAAGCTGGATACAATTTACTATATTTTCCCTTCTGCCTCTGTCTCTCGTATCTGCGGCAGGTGTTCCAAGATCGATAAACAGATCGCAAAAGGAGAGTGAGAGAGAGATTCTCGGTATACGCAAAAGGCACACAACTGTACACCATGATTCTTCTGTTACAGTTGTGCAAAATCTTATTGACATTTGAACATGTATTTCATTTCAAATGCCTCTCTCTTTCTTTATTTTTTCATTTCTCCTTCTTTTTCTGTTTCTACTTCTCCTTCTCTTTCTTAATTTTTTATTCTCTTTTTAAGCACAGTTTTCTTCAAAGTGTAAATTGATGCCAAAAATTTGGATCAATTTTTGATTTGGTCCAAATTTTTGGCATCAATTTTCGATTATTGGTTCACATTTTTAGCATCAATTTTTTTATTTGGTCCTCATTTTTACTATAATTGGTTGCAATTGATACTTTTAAGTTAACAGTAGTAAATTAGTCGCGCACAATTGCAACTAATTCAACAGTTCCAATTCGTTCGCATTAAATAATTTCTATAATCGTTTCTATATAAAAATATAGTTTCTATATTCCTTATAATATAGAATTAGAAACTCCTTATTTTGTCCCAGGAAAACCATGCGAGGACAATCAATAAAAAAAAACATACAGTTCGTAAAGCAAATAAAAAAATATCCAAGAATATTAAAATTGCGCATTGATTCTATTCTTGAAGTACCTATTAGAATATATACATTAATAATGTGATTTTATTTCCCATGAACCTAAATCTATACGCGTCGAAGCAGGATAATCTATGGAAATTAAAATTAACACCTTGTGAATTCCTCGTGAGAAAACTATGTAGAGCAAGTATATACTTATTAGCTAATCTTTTTAAATATGCATTCTAAGACTCAATATATTCATCTGAGCGTATAACCATTGCGAGTCGTTCTTTTATGTTCACCATTTATTTCTCTCTTTAATTATTATGATAATACACCCTTTAAGTATAGACGCGAGGTTGATATTTCCTTGTCCTCTTTTTAGAAGTGCGAAACAAAAATATTCGCAACTTGAAGAAATACGAGCTGTACTTTCTTCACTAGTATAATATAAACTTAGAGATTTTATTTTATCTTCTTCGGCATCTTAAGGGAATGCAAAATTCGATGAAATTTTGTTCAATAATGTAAAAATAAAATTAAAAATAAAATTTCTTCAATTGCAACGAATTGATACCAAAAATGTGGATCGAATCAAAAATTGATCCAAATTTTCGGCATTAATTTAATTCGATTTAGTATCAATTTGATACTTTTAAGAACTTTATTCTCAAAACTTTAAAGAAGACTCAAATAATATACAAAATTATAAATTTAAATCCCGGTATTTTTGAATATGAAAAAAAAAAACTCGTTTGAATGTACGCTTGATTATTATATGAAGATAATAAGATTTAAAGAGTTCTGCGTTTCGTTTAGTGAGAGGAGTATAAAAAAAAGTGGAAATATCGACGACATTCGAGCACCTCTCTCAGCCTCGAGGTATAAAATAACTTTTCAATGAATGAAAGAGATGAAATCATATAATGAAGAATGACACAGAAATCCCAGTATATACTATATACGAATCGTAGTAATAGTAAACTGTCGAGTAAAAGCATTAATGGCAACGGTACATTTTAGAATCGTAAATTCCCAGAATTGCGAAGGCCTCAGAAAAATCTTTAATACTCTTGCTGTATTATTTCCATTTAAAAAAAGAATCATTCAAAATTTTACTGGAACTTTAAGAAATTATTTTTACAGACTAATTTTTTTTAAATTTAAAATTATTATTTCGAATAATTTAAAAACACTTTTTTTGAAAATTCTTCAATTTATTGAATAATTCAATATTTCTTAAATTGGAATTCTTATAAAGAACTTTATCGACATTTTTTAAAATAATTGAATTTTTACGAAGAATTGAATTTAAATTTTTGATAATAATTAAATTCATTCAAGAAATATGATTAAAAATGAATTGAAAATAATTATTACACTTTAAGAAACATATAATATCAAATTTTTTTAAATAAATGAATTTTTTCGAAGAATTTTATTTAAATTGTTAAGAATAATTGCGTTATTATTGTAATTAAATTAAAATTATATTAAAAATAATTGAAATTGTATATTATTCGAGAAAATAATTGATTAGGTATTATTAAAATTTTCAAAAATATTTAATTCCTGCGATAAATTTTATTATTTATAAAATTAATTGAATTTTTGCAAAGAATTTTATTACAATTTTTTTAAAATTGAAATTTTAATTGAATTCCTCCGAAGAATGTTATTATTTTTAAAAATAATTGAAGTTTTAGGAAGTTTATTAATTTTTCTGAAATAATTAAATTTTTGCGAAGAATTTTATAAAAATTTCTAAGAATAATTAAATTCCTGTGAAAATTTATTTATTCATGAATATAATTCAATGTTTGCAAAGAATTTTATAAAAAAAAAATGTTTAAATAACTGAATTCTTTCGACAAATTTTAGTAAAATTTTTAAAAATTTAGTTTAATGAATTTTAATAAACAAACTAGCCAAACTATCCGCGCGCAAGTGCGCGGGAATGTTGTATGGGGCTGCTTATTTTACACAATTTAAAAAATTTTAAAGAAATAATTATTATAACCTAACAAAGATATTTAACTAACTAAAATTCAAATAATTTCACTCAATGGTCTCAATTTAAATAGAATTTACATTACTAGACTTAAACTATGGCTAGAACAATTACAATTATAGTATCTGGGTCATCTTTTGCATTGCTTATTTTATAAAGCCATTTTAAATTAAATACTTTTTAAAGAAATAATAATTATTACACACTGAAAAAAGTTTTACTTGAAATAGCGATAAGTTTCTCTAGAATAACGAAAGTATTAATTGAAGCACTGAAAAATTTCGCTACTAAAGAGAAATCTGTAGTTCATTCAGCTAAATATTTTTTGCCGTGCATAACGAAAAAAGAATTAAATTAACATCAGATTTTCTACATTCAAAAAAAAAACGAATTCAAATAGAAATTAATCATTTTACAACTTAACCAAATTCACCCCAGAAATCACTGAATTCGATAATTTAGAAGAAAGTCAGACAAAAGCAGGGTTCCTACAGAATCTGGAAATCATGGAAATGGTATGGAATTTTCAAAAGGCTTCTGGAAATCAGGGAAATCATGGAAAAAGGCCTGGAATTTTTAAAAGTTTCTAAATTTTTTCAGTTTTCCATTTTTTCTCATGAATAAAAATTCAAATAATAATAAAGCTAAATGGCATTAAAAAAGAAGAAAAAATGGTATATTTTAAGAAATTCGGATTTTTGAATTTTTGATAATTTTCGATAATTTTAGATTTTTTACCAAAGAGTCGAGACTATTAAATAAGTAAAGTATTTTCCAAAAGCACAAAAATAATGAAGCCGAATCCTATAAAAAAGAGGAAAATATGTTGAATTTCAAAAAATTCGGATTTTTGAATTTTTGATAATTTTCGATAATTTTAGATTTTTTACCAAAGAGTCGAGACTATTAAATAAGTAAAGAATTTTCCAAAAGCACAAAAATAATGAAGCCGAATCCTATAAAAAAGAGGAAAAAATGTTAAATTTTAAGAAATTCGGTTTTTTTAATTTTTTCGAATTTTTGATAATTTTAGATTTTTTACCAAAGAGTCGAGACAATTTAATAAGTAAAGCATTTTCCAAAAGCACAAAAATAATGAAGCTAAATCCCATAAAAGAGAGGAAAAAATGTTGAATTTTAAGAAATTCGGATTTTTGAATTTTTGATAATTTTAGATTTTTTACCAAAGAGTCGAGACTATTAAATAAGTAAAGAATTTTCCAAAAGCACAAAAATAATGAAGCCGAATCCTATAAAAAAGAGGAAAATATGTTGAATTTCAAGAAATTCGGATTTTTGAATTTTTGATAATTTTCGATAATTTTAGATTTTTTACCAAAGAGTCGAGACTATTAAATAAATAAAGTATTTTCCAAAAGCACAAAAATAATGAAGCTAAATCCCATAAAAGAGAGGAAAAAATGTTGAATTTTAAGAAATTCGGATTTTTGAATTTTTGATAATTTTAGATTTTTTACCAAAGAGTCGAGACTATTAAATAAGTAAAGAATTTTCCAAAAGCACAAAAATAATGAAGCCGAATCCTATAAAAAAGAGGAAAATATGTTGAATTTCAAGAAAGTCGGATTTTTGAATTTTTGATAATTTTCGATAATTTTAGATTTTTTACCAAAGAGTCGAGACTATTAAATAAATAAAGTATTTTCCAAAAGCACAAAAATAATGAAGCTAAATCCCATAAAAGAGAGGAAAAAATGTTGAATTTTAAGAAATTCGGATTTTTGAATTTTTGATAATTTTAGATTTTTTACCAAAGAGTCGAGACTATTAAATAAGTAAAGTATTTTCCAAAAGCACAAAAATAATTAAGCTAAATTCCATAAAAGAGAAGAAAAAATGTTGAATTTTAAGAAATTCGGATTTTTGATAATTTTCGATAATTTTAGATTTTTTACCAAAGAGTCGAGACAATTTAATAAGTAATAATAAGTATCCAAATAGTAGCAAATTGTAAAAAACGTAGTCTTAAATAGTAGGTTTCAGTAGATGAGTGCGAGGGCTGAGTTAGTGAAGGATAAACAATATACCTTCAGCTTCTTTAATCATTCTTCCGTTTGCAATTACACTTCCGGTTTTTTTTCCATACTGCTTCGACCTTAGAAAATTCTTCTTCTTCTTCTTCTTCTTGTTAGTTTAATGGGGCCTTAGGAAATTAACTAGAATTTATCTACTTAAAAAAATGAAATCGTGAATGTAAATAAAATTTATGTTTTTATTTTTAGTTCATTTATTATATTACAAATATTTTTAATGCTCACAGCACAAAAATAAACAACTGAATTCTTTGCAGAAGGTAATATCTCAAATCAGTCTACTCTGAATCGCTTCCATCATCACTTTCATCTTCGAGTTCTGGCATTGGAAATCGTAAAATAGCAGCCACTCCGGTAAGTTGATCTAATTCTGTTATTTTTTATTTTTCAATTAGTAATTTATAACTGTTTACCCTGGGTGTAAGGAGTCAATGTTAATTAATATAATAATAATAACAAATACTCACGTTCTCCGGATATGTGCATACTGGAAAACATTTTAACATCTCCTCCGGAATCCCTAACTCCTTCGATGAGATTCACGTATTCTTTCCTCAATGCAACATCTTGAGCACTGAAAGAAAATAATTTAAATCTTGAATAAAGAATAATTATCCAAATTTATTATTTGAATTTGAATTCTTGAATTTCTTACCGAAATAATTTATCGGAAATAAGAAGTGTCTCAACAGCCTGACTTTCATTTGCTCGTTCAACTTGCTTTTTGCCATAAAACGCACGTTCGGGATCAGTTTGTAAAATTGTGTAAAAAAGTTCCAGGGCTCTCACTTCACTTGCTGCTTTAGTATCCGAAATACGAGACACAACTGCTGGATCGGCTAGAACCTCTAAAAGACACTTATTCAATTAGTACAATTAGCAGACAACAATACAATTATTGCAATTATATTACCCACACGGCACCGAAACTTTCCTAAAAATCTATTAAATCTTTTTACACAATTGTATCACTAAACTTTGCAATTGCAAATTAAATAAAATACTCCGAAGTTTACAAGTAAATCTTATTAATAAATTTTTAGGAAAATGTCGGTTCTGTGTGGGTATAAAATATTTGGTTAAAAAAAATATATACCTTTCAGTGAATGTTTGAAACCTGAACTCGCATGGATGAGCATGAATTTACTTCTATTATCTAAAATCAATTTATTATCAGACTTAATTGCTTGTTGGACCATGTAATCCATGAATTGATCTTTGACAAAGCCGGGACTTGCGATGATGACACATTTCACTATATCGAAACTAATGTGTCTTAATATTCCCTGCATTACACTTTCGTAGAATCTCGCTAAACCCTGGAAAATAATTAATAATAATAAATCGTGGTCTCCATCCAAACTATTATTTAATTCTATAAAATAATTAAAAAATAATTATAAAAACCTTTTCATGTTGGGAAACGTGTCCTTTTCTTTTCCGTGGAATCACTTGATCTATTTTCGCACGAACTAATGTCATATTAGATGTTATTAAACAAATATGAGCTATTCCTTCTTGCATTACAATGGCAGCCACGTCAGCATTCTAAAGCAATGAACAAAAAATTATTATCGCCGACAACATTGTTTGTTGACGCGCTCAGAAGAAAGCTAAGAAGAAAACATCAAATTACAACGAATTGATACCAAAAATAAGGATTAAATTTAAAATAAAAAATTGATCCTAATTTTCGGCGTCAATATGATCAGGACTCGAACCAGTGAAATCTCTTTCTTCATGTTTTATAATAATTAAAGACAACCGAGTGATAAAATCATTACTATAAGAATATTGTACTTCTTCAGAATTATTTTCATCATTTCAATTCAATTATTATTTTCAAGAATTTTTAACTAAAATTCTTCGATTATTTTTTTAAATTTTCGAAAAAGTTCTTTGACAATTTTCAAATTCATTTGTTTATAATATTCAATTTTACAAAGTTTCAATTCTTCGTAAATTCTTCAATTAAATATATATAGTAGAAAATAAAAACTTCAAATAAAAAAAAATTCAATTAAACTTTTTCAAAAAAATTAATTTCAAAATTCAATTATTTCTAAAAATTAGCGCTATATTGCTTTTAATATTTATAATTATTATTTAAAATTTTAACTGAAATTCATCTTTAAATCAATTTTTATTAGAAAATTCTACTAGAATTCAATTATTTAAATACAAAAATAAATAATTTATTGAATAATTGAATCCTCATAAAGAACTTTATGAGCAAATTATATTACAATAATTTTTAAATAATTTTATTAATTTTAAACATAATTTTTCTGCGAAGAATTTTATTATTCTTGAAAATAATTGAATTTTTGCAATAATTTCTAATTTCTCTAAAATTAAATTTTTTTAGTGTTTTTAACTAAAATTCTTCTATAAATTCATTATTTTTAATAATTTTTGAAAAAGTTCTTTGAGAATTTTCAAATTCATTATTTTGTCTACAATTTAATTTTACAAAATAAATAATAATTTATTAAAGAATTGTATTCGCATAAAGAATTTTATCAACAAATTTTTAAATAATTGAATTCTTTCGACGAATTTTAATAAAAGTTTTAAGAATAATTATACTTTTCGAAGAATTCCATAAAAATTGTATTAAAAATAATTGAAAATTGAGCATTGAGTTTTATAATTTATGAAAATAATTGAATTCCTAAAAACAATTTTATTTCCAAAAATAATTGAATTCCTATGTAAAAATTTTATTATTTATAAAAATAATTGAATTATTTAGAAGAAATTTATAAAAAAATTTGTATATAATTAAGGAAAATTTTTAAAAACAATTTAAATTTTTTTAAGAATTCTTTTAAGAAGTTTTTGAAAATAATTGAATTCCTGTGAAACATTTTATTATTTATAGAAAAATAATTGAATACTTGCAAAGAATTTTAATAAAACTTTTGTAAATATTTTATTTGAATTTTTTTCAAGAATTTTATGAAAATTTATAGTAATAATTCAATTATTTTGACTAATTTAATTAAAATGGTACTAAAAATATTTAAAATTCTGCGATTAGGTATTTATTCGAATATAATTGAATTCTTAAAAAGTATTTTATTTTTTTATGAAAATAATTAAATTCTTTTGGAAAATTTGATTAAAATAGTAGATATTGAAAATCATTGAATAGGGGATGTTTTTTGAAAATAATTGAAATTTTGCCAAGAATTTTATTAAATTTTTTCAAATAATTGAATTCCTGTGGTAAATTTTATTATTTCTAAAAATAATTGAAATTTTGACGAGAATTTTTAAAATTTTTTTTAAATAAAGGATTCCCTGTAAAAATTTTATTATTTATGAAAACAATTGAATTATTTGGAAGAAATTTATAAAAAAAATTAGTGAATAATTGATTCCTGTGAAATTTTTATTATTTTATGAAAATAATTAAATTCTTTAGATAGAAGAAGTTGAATTAAAATTTTTTTAAATAATTGAATTCTTTTGAAAAATTTTATTAAAATAGTAAATATTGAAAATCATTGAATTGAGGAAAATTTTTGAAAACAATTTCAATTTTGCCAAGAATTTTTTTAAAAAGTTCTGAAAATAATTGAATTCTTGTAACGAATTTTATTACATTTTTTCAAATAATTGAATTCCTGTGAAAAATTTTATTATTTAGGAAAATAATTGAATTCTTTCGAAGGATTTTAATAAAATTTTTGTAAATATTTGAATTTTTTTCACGAATTTTATGAAAATTTATAGTAATAATTCAATTATTTTGACTAATTTAATTAAAATGGTACTAAAAATATTTAAAATTCTGCGATTAGGTATTTATTCGAATATAATTGAATTCTTAAAAAGAATTTTATTTTTTATAAAATAATTAAATGTTTGCGTAGAATTTTATTAAAATTTTTGAAAATAATTGAATTCTTAATTGGAAATTTTGATTTTAAAATAGTAGATATTGAAAATCATTGAATTGAGGAAAAATTTTAAAAATAATTGAAATTTTGCCAAGAATTTTATTAAATTTTTTGAAAATAATTGAATTTCAGAGAAGAATTTTATTATTTATAAAAATAATTGAAATTTTGCCAAGTATTTTATTACAATTTTTGAAAATAATTTAATTTTTGCGAAGAATTTTATGACTTTTGAAAATAATTGAATTTCTGCAATTATTTGTAACATTTGTAATTTCTCTAAAATTCTCCGAATTATATCGTACAATTTACGAACTTTTCGTCCTTTTTCTATCAAATTACGAACTTTACGGACCTTTTTTCAAAAAAACCGACTTTTACAGACTTGAAGAAAATTTACAAACCTTTACGGAATTTCCGAACCTGGTTCGAGCCCTGTATGATCTACTTTAGTATCAATTTTATGCTTTCAAGAAAACTGTCTTAAACTGTCTAAAAATGTTTTGGAACATTATTTGTCGAACTTGAAACTTTCTAAAAACGGTTTTGGAACGAACATAGTTTTTTGTCAAGAAGGTTAACAAAAAGTTTGCTTCTTAGGTACCTTTCTTCGGAGCGTGTCACAAATATAAATTCAATAATTACTTGAGTTGGATCGCAGGCCAAATCAACTCGTTCCAATGAAACACAATCCCATTTGGGTTTAACTAGAGTAAATTTTCGGTTTTGTTCTACATCTAAAGTGTGATAGGCTCCCATCTATTAAAAAAAGCGAATTAAAATCAAAAATCGAATTATAACAACTTTTAATTTAATGAAAGATAACTTCCCTCAATTGTTGAAGTTTAAAATTTAATTTTTGAAAAACTTACCTTAACATATTTATTTTCCTCGATATTTCGTCCTTTGAGTCTTAAGACACAAGCTTGAGTATCAAAATCAATGCCTTCGACGCATATCGTAAGAGTGGTTCTCACTCTGTAACTGTTGGAGCTTCCAGTCGATGACTCAGTCTGTACTTTTCTAAATAATTTTTTATGTAAATTCTTATTGTCAATATTTACTTAAAAAATTACTTTTATAGTTTTTTGTTTCACAATTTGTCTAAGGATATCAAATTGAGACAAAAAACGTATCAAATCGTTGCTTCGCAACAATTATTTTGATGCGTCTTTTGTCTCAATTTGATATCCTCAGACAAAACTGTGTTAATAGTTTCTATTTCAATTTTTTTTAAGAAATTTTACCTGATAGTTGAACAACTGACATGATCTCCTTCACATATTAAATTGTAAGCATGCCACACGTCTTCTGTATTCTCCGGAATGAGAGATACACTCCTGTTGAAATAAGCAATTTTTATTTTTCTTCAATTCTAATCTTCTATTATCCTCATAGCATAAGGATGTCTCGAATATATTATAAGAATATCAAAAAAAAATTCGTATAAATTCACTCACCCTTCTCCATCTTTGTCGACAATTTTTCTCACCAGTTTCATCTTGAAATTGTGTTGTGCATTGTAACTTTAATTTATAATAAAGACAAAATGTTTTATAATCTGAAAAAAAACAGTTTATGAATTGTTATTTATTAAGAGCCAACAGGTCAGTGGTCAATTAATTGTTTTAAAACAGTGTCTTCAACTATTTTTGTGGTCATACAATGAAACTGAACCACGCAATGTTTTTAAAAACGAAAAATTTTATTTTCATTTATAAAAACTACATATGTTTCTAAATGTTTACAGTATGACATGCTTAGAATATTAAAAATTTTAAATCGTTATAGGTTTTGTCCCACGTGGGATATAACAAATTATCTAATTAGAAACTTTACAATAAATTTTCCATGAGACAGTTAATTATCAAGTTACATTAACTTTAAATAATAACTTTAAAATAAGTAAGTTTATAAACAAAATACTCACAGTTCAGTACATTGAAGTATTTACAACATTTACACATGAAACATTCTTAATGAAGAAGGAATTTTACTATGTCGAATGTGAATTCAGAAAGAGAGGTTCATTGAAGGTTAGATTCTCTTCTTCGTATAAAGTTGGACTTCGGACTACCAGCGCCTTTTTCACACGTGTGGTCTCTTTCGAAAGCAGGACTCAGCCTGTAAATAAAGTCACGTTCAATATAAGAGTTTCCGCGTCTGACATAAACTTATGTCAGAAACTCAGTGGTCAGAACTTAAAAACATTAAAAACGTGTAAACAGTGAAAATTAGTGTTGAAAATTAACTGTTGGAGAATATTTTCTAAATATGAATGCACCACCGACATTTGAGTCGTTTCTTCTTTACGAGGGAGAAAAAAAGTAAGTTTTTGTTTATTAAAATAAATTATATTATGGTTATTATGTTATTCTATGCTTATTATATTATGGTTATGTTATGTTTATGTTATATTAAGTATGGTCATTACATATTATAGTTATGTTATATTTTGGATATTATTTTAATTATAGTTTTATGTTATATTTTGGTTATTATTTTAATTATAGTTACTAATTATATTATGGTTATTACAGGCTTCGTACTCATCTACTAAAATCTACTATTTACTACTTTTTTACGATTTGCTATACTATTTGGATATTTTTGTTTGTTACACTAAAAGCTACTTTTTTCCATGTTTGAGAATTTTACTTTTAATTTGTTAACAGTTAATTAAATTATTCGGAAAAATTTCATTATCTTCACCATCAATAGAATTATTCGCAGAAATTCAATTATTTTCAGAAGATTTTATAAAATTCTTTTCAAGAATTCAATTATTTAAAAAAAATTAATAAACTTCCCGAGAATTCAATTATTTTTAAGAATAATAACATTCTTCTTAGGAATTCAATTATTTTTTTAAATTTTAATAATAATCGTTGCAAGAATTCAATTATTTTTATAGATTATTAAAATTTAAAGCAGGATTTCAATTATTTTTAATACAATTTTACAGGAATTCCGCGAAAAGTGCAATTATTTAAAATGAGTTTGATAAAATTTGTTTCTTCGAAATTAATCATTATTTTCAATTTCACTTTTAATTAACTTTCTTGAAAGAATTTAATTTTTTTGAAAAATTTTAATGAAATTATTCGCAGAAATTCAATTATTTTCAGAAGATTTTATAAAATTCTTCTCAAGAATTCAATTATTTAAAAAAAAATTAATAAACTTCCAAAGAATTAAATTATTGTTAAGAATAATAAAATTCTTCTCAGGAATTCAATTATTCTTAAAAATTTGAATAGAATTCTTCGCAAGAATTCAATTATTTTTATAAATAATAAAATTCTTTTCAGAAATTCAATTATTTAAAAAAATTTTTAAGAATAATCGTTGCAAGAATTCAATTATTTTTATAAATAATATACAATTTTAAAAGAAATTCAATTATTTAAAAAAATTTGATATAATTTGTTTCTTAGAGTGTAATAATTATTTTCAATCCATTTTTAATTACATTTCTTGAATGAATTTAATTATTAACAAAAATTTTAGTGCAATTCTTCGTAAAAATTCAATTATTTTAAAAAATGTTGATAAAGTTCTTTATAAGAATTGAAATTTAAGAAATATTTAATTTTTCAGATAAATTGTTTATTATTTAAATAATTGAATTCTCGTAGAACTTTCTAATAAGAATTGATTTAGAATTGAATAAAATAAAATGATTCGAGTTTTGAATAATTTTATTTATAAATTTCAAGAAAAAAATGATTGAATTTTGAAAGAGTTACTTTTGTAATTTTTTGAAATAGTTAAATTTGAAAAATGCGGTACATTAAAATCATTTAAAATATTTTAATTCCTGTAGACAAAATAAATAGGTATTTAAATATTTATTTAAAAAAATTATTGTATTGTTGAATGTAATTTAATTTAGAAATTACGAAAAAATAGAGTCAAGTTTAATTTTTCTATAGCAGTTTTTTACTACTTTTTTTCTGTCTTTAAGCTACTTTTTAGAAATTATTAATTATTAATTATCGAGTACGAAGCCTGTTATTATATTATAGTTTGAAACTAAAATACAAACTATTATTACAGAATAATCAAAGAGCAGGATACAAAGGTTCCAAATGCGGCGATATTTACAATCAACAAAGAAGATCACACACTTGGAAACATGATCAGAAAGTAAACAAATTTATAAATAAAAGAATTTAATTAATAATTTATAAAATTCACACTAACAATATACAAATTATTGTGAATTTTTTAGTCAACTGTTGAAGGATCCTCAAGTACTGTTCGCCGGATACAAAGTGCCTCATCCTTTGGAACACAAGTTTGTTATCAGGATTCAGACGACATCGGATTATACGCCACACGATGCATTTATGCACGCTATTACGGATTTAATTGCTGAATTATCACTCTTCGAAGAGCGTTTCAAGGTATGTACAAAAAAAACTTTTTTTAATTTGTAATTTGTTGTAATTTGTTAAATATCGTAATAAGGAGAAAATTTGTTCTTTCACTGGTCCGATGATTGATGAGAAGAGTTAAAAAAAAACCTTCAGTTATTAATGAATAATACTTTTTTCCAATCGCAGTACTTTCGTTGGATTTAAAAATTAATTTTCTTTCAGGAGGCAATAAAGGAGAAAAAAGAAGGATTGGATTAATTAATAGCAACGGTAATAATATTCTTTTGTTTGTATTAATAATTTATAAGTTAGCATTCGATAATGTACAAAAACTTGCAGATAAACTAAGTTTATATGTGTATAGAATAAATTAATAGTTTTCTAAACTTTTAATTATTGTTCATTTAATGAATGCCTTTCTGAAGGAATTATGAAAAAATATCAGGGTTGCTACAGGTCAGGGGAAAGTCAAGGATTTTTATTAAAAGTACTGAAAATAAATTTAATTTTTAGAATTCAAATTAAATTTTTGTGGCAATCTTGAATATTCTTAAAAGAACCAAAATCCCTGTTGAAAAATAGATTCAAAATTGTTTAAATAAAACAATTTTCAATTGAACATAATTTTTATTTATTTATTCTTATTTTAAATATTCAACAGTACAATGTATTAAGTTATTTTTATAAGCATTAAGCATTATTAATAAATATTGTTTATCTTTAATTTTTTTATACATTAATATTTACAGAGTTTCATTGTGCTTTGGCAAACAAATTTTTTTTTCTCTCGTTTACAATCCACAACTATTACTTTTCCTATAAGACAATATTGAATTTTTCTAATTAAATATAATTTTTTATCAAACATTATCCAGTTTATTTAAAAGTAACGCGTTACTGGAAAAAGTCTAGTAAAATTTAACAATGTTTAAAATATGTCTAAAACTATTAACTACTTAAATTAATTTTTCTTTACAAGAATATAATTAATAACGCGTTACAATTTTATATAAAGACTAATGCGTTCAACACATGATACAGCAAACTCACATTTTTACTCAGTTAAAAATATTAGAGCAAAATATAAATAACTTAAAGTAAAACCTGAAAATTAATCGAAATTTTGAAAACTTAAAAGATTAATTTCTCAGGAAAATTACTTGCCCTAATATCTTTTTTAATAATTATATAAAATAGCGAACAATAAAGAGCTAAAAAAATACGTATTATACTTTCAAATAAGACAATTAATTCTGTCCAGGAAGACAAATATTACAGACGGAAGAAGTTAGACGTAAAAAAATATACTTTGAAAATTCAACAAACTTTTCTAGTATTTCGTTCTTCTATTTTGGCAAGCTTGTAATTTACAATTCTTTTCTCCATCTGATATTGTTAATAAGTTTCATTGTCCTCGCATGCCTCAGTGTCATGACCAAAAACTGAAATTTTTTAATTATTATTATTACTATTAGAAATTACAGGGCTCGAAATTTGATAGAAAAAGGACTAAAAGTTCCTAAATTATACGATATAATTTGGAGAATTTTAGAGAAATTACAAATGTTACAAATAATTGCAGAAATTTAATTATATTCAAAAGTAATAAAATTCTTTGCAGAAATTCAATTATGTTTAAAAATTTTTTTAAATTCTCGTCAAAATTTCAATTATGTTTAGAAATAATAAAATTCTTCTCCGAAATTCAATTATTTTCAAAAATTTTAATAAAATTCTTGGCAAAATTTCAATTATTTTCAAAAATCTTCCTCTATTCAATGATTTTAAATATCTACTATTTTAATCAAATTTTCCAAAAGAACTCAATTATTTTCAATAATTTTAATAAAATTCTACGCAAATATTAAATTAATGTTTATTAATTAATATTTTCATAAAAAATAAAATTCTTTTTAAAAATTCAATTACATTCATAAATACCTAATCGCAGAATTTCAATTATATTTAGAACAATTTTAACTAAATTAGTCAAAATAATTAAATTATTTCTTTAAATTTTAATGAAATTCTTGAAAAAATTCAAATATTTACAAAAATTTTTATAAAATCCTTCTTAAGAATTCAATTATTTTCCTAAATAATCAATTTTTTCACAGAAATTCAATTATTTGAAAGAATGTAATAAAATCCTTTACAAGAATTTAATTATTTTTAAAATTTAAAACAAAAAATTCTTGGCAAAATTTCAATTGTTTTCTCAAAAATTTTCCTTAATTCAATGATTTTCAATATTTACTATTTTAATAATATTTTCCAAATGAATTCAATTATTTAAATTTTGTAATAAAATTCTCCACAAACATTTAATTATTTTCATAAAATAATCAAAATTTCACAGGAATTCAATTATTTACTAATTTTTTATAAATTTCTTCTAAATAATTCAATTATTTTCATAAATAATAAAACTTAATGCTGAATTTCAATTATTTTTAGTACAATTTTTATGAAATTCCTCGAAAAGTGTAATTATTCTTAAAACTTTTATTAAAATTCGTCGAAAGAATTCAATTATTTAAAAATTTGTTGATAAAATTCTTTATGAGAATACAATTGTTCAATAAATTATTTTTTTTATTTAAATAATTGAGTTCTAGTAGTATTTTCTAAAAAAATTGATTTAAAAATAAATTTTAATTAAAATTTTAGAAATAATTGAATTTTGAAAAGGTTTTAAATTAAATTCTTTAAAATTTTTAATTTTTCAAATATTGTCACTTTTAAAATATTTTAATTCTTGTGATGAATATTTTCATTTATGAAAATAATTGAAATTGAATTTCACTTAAAGTTTTAGACTACAATTGAATATTAAAATCATTATATCGTGAATTTTGGAGAATTAATTGAATTTTGAAAAGGTTTCATATTAAAATCTTTGAAATTTTTAATTTTTCATACTTTTCACTAACAATTCTGTAGAAAAATTAATTTTTTTGAAAAACTTTTCTTCAATTTTACTTGAAATTATTTTTTCGATCTATTCATTTTCTAATATATTATATTTAATTGAAGAATTACCGAATAATTGAAATTTTGTAAAATTGAATTGTAAACAAATGAATTTGAAAATTCTCAAAGAACTTTTTCAAAAATTATTAAAAATAATGGATTTATAAAAGAATTTTAGTTAAAAACACTAAAAAAAATTTAATTTTGGAGAAATTACAAATTAATGCAGAAATTCAATTATTTTCAAGAATAATAAAATTCTTCGCAGAAATTTAATTATGTTCAAAAATAATAAAATTCTTTTTAGGAATTCAATTATTGTCATAAATAATAAAACTCATCGCAGAATTTCAATTATTTTTAATACAATTTTAATGAAATTGCTTGAAAAATGTAATTATTCTTAAAAATTTTGTTAAAATTCGTCAAAAGAATTCAATTATTTAAAAATTTGTTGATAAAATTCTTTACGAGAATTCAATTTTAAGAAACATTCAATTATTCAATAAATATTTATTTTTGTATTTAAATTATTGAATTCTAGTAGAATTTTCTAATAAAAATCGATTTAAAGATGAATTTCAGTTAAAATTTTAAATAATAATTTGAATACTAAAAGCTATATAGCACGAATTTTTAAAAATAATTGAATTTTGAAATTAATTTTTTAAAAAAGTTTAATTGAATTTTTTTATATTTTTTGAAGTTTTTATTTTCTAATATATATTTAATTGAAGAATTTACGAATAATTAAAATTTCGTAAAATTGAATATTGTAAACAAATGAATTTGAAAATTGTCAAAGAACTTTTTCGAAAATTATTTTATTAAAAATAATTGATTTAAAGCAGAATTTTAGTTAAAAATTCTTGAAAATAATAATTGAATTGAAATGAAGAAAATAATTGTGAAGAAGTACAATATTCTTATAATACAAAATAATCATTTTATCACTCGGTTGTCTTTAATTATTATAAAACATGAAGAAATCGATGACTCCGAGTCGAAGACTCAGAGTTATCGATTTCTTCATGTTTTATAGTTTGAAAAAATTTAATTTATAGTTTTAAGTAAAATTTTTTTTTATTTGACTCGGACTGGTTATATTTTTGTCAGTTTGGTCCGTAAATGGTCCGTAATTTTTCATGTTTGGTCCTTAAAGTCCGCGTATTTTTAAATACTTTAACTGTTTCGAGCCCTGAAATTATTTGAGAAAATTGTTTTTTTTTTTTTTTTTTTTTTTTTTTGATAAACTCACCCTCACAATTGTCACAATAAGGTCTCTCAATACGACTCTTTTTAGCTGCTCTCGAATCTTTTGGTTCTAATTCAGAATCTTGTGATTGACGTGGGCAATCCTCCGTTTCGTGTAAATCAAACTGGTCACAAATATCGCAGAACATTCGAGGTGGTGCTAATCTTTTTTCTAAGGTGCTTCTAAAAATTTTCACATTTTAATTTTAATATTAATTATTTGAAAAATTTAATTTGAATATTCTTTGTGAATCAATCTATTATTACTATTACCTATTGTAATCGTCAGCTTCATTCGCTGGAACTCCCATTTCCAGAACTTCAATCTTGCACAATAAATTCTCGTTCTTTTTCTGCATATCCACTATGACGGAATTCAAAAAATCAATTTGTCCTTTAAACAAGTCGTGCTCTTCCACGAGCTTTTTGTAGTCCATTTTTTGTCCAGCTGAAAAATGTTTTTTTTTTTTAAATTTTAATAAATTCAAGATTTTTTACTTCTACAAGCTGCTTTTTTCGTTTTTCTTTTGAAAATAAAAAAAATACAAAATTTGTTTTTCTAAGAATTTCTAAAGAATTCAAAAAATAGAAAAATAGAAAAATATTGATTAATATAAATAATCAAAGGGTTTTGCATTAAAATTATTGAAAATTTTAATACTAGTCGAAAAATAAATAGCAATTGTTTTTTTTTCAACTATTATGTAAATAATAATAATTACTTGTATTTATTTTGGAATCGCCACCTGCTGATGGAATTAAACTATTCGCATTCATTTCCATCTGAAACAAAGTCTAATTATTTTAATACTCTGATTTTTTATTCTTTTCTAAAAAAAAAAAATCATGTAATCTTACATTTTTATTAGTCAAATTCATGCTATCAGTTTTTTTAGCAGACTTTTCCAATAGTTTCTTATTTTCCTCTTCTCTGTAAAAATATAATTACCAAAAAATTAGTTTCTATTTTTTCGAATAATAAATAAAGTCAACACTCGATAAGATAAACTCGAAGAGAGATCGAAAAAACTTCGAGTCATCGCGCTTTTTATTATCGAGAGTTGACTGTAATAAACTAATAAATTAATAATTAAATAAATAAATAAATAAAATTAATAATAAAAAAAATCCCATAGTACTTACAGTCTAATTTTTATGTCCTTCAATTGTGAACATTCCTGAGTTAATAAATTTACTTTCTCAACTAAATTTTGCGCATTCTTTTCCGCCTCCTTCTCCTTTATTTTCACCGATTTCGCCAAATTTTGCAATTTTTCCTCCGCCTCATTCAACGATTGTTCAACACCATTTTTCGTCAATTCCAAATTTATTTTTTCATTCCTAATATCATTTAATTCTTTCTGTATAATTTTAATCTCATTATTTCGCGAATCCTGTTCTACTTTCGATTTTTGACTATGCGTTTCGTTTAGTAAATTAATTTTCCCCTCCAATTCAACAATGATCGTTTCTTTTTTGGTTAATTCCCCCTTCTGTTTATTTAGTAATTCCGCGAGATGTTTCATACCCTCGAAATCATTATTCTGCTCAATATTCGCCTCGGTGAGGAGATTTTTTATTTCCACTTCCAAAGAATTTTTCAAATTAAGAGCAATTTTCTCGGATTTTGTCAATTGATCTGTCTTATTCTCCAATTCATTGAGGTGATTATTCTTTTTCGTTAATTCCTCTTGAGCTTCGGTTAAATGCAACTCTAAGGATTTTAATTTTTCCTTTAGTGTTGAATTTTCGATTGATAATTCATTGGAGGTTTTTAATTGTTCTTCGGATTTGGATTTTAATTGATTTTCGAGATCTTCGAGAATTTTTGTTTGTTTGAGGAGTTGATTATTCTTTTCGGTGAATTGTGTTTCGGTTTGGAGTAATTTTACATTGAGGATTTCTTTATTTTGGTTGGTGGTTGATAATTGATTGTTTGTTTCGTTTAGTGATGTTTGCAGTTGATTGAGGGATTTTTTTAGGTTTTCTTTTTCGGATTCAGAGTTTAATAATTGTTGTCTTAGATTTGTGAGTTCTTCGGAATTTTCGGTGGTGAGATTGGTGTATGTCGATTTTAGGAGATTTAATTCTTTTCGTGAATCGTTATAGTTGGCGTTAAGTTCTTTGAGTTCGGTGTTTAGTTCATTATTTTCGGTTTCGAATTTTTTGAGGCGATTATTTAAATCATTGAGTTCTTGTTCGGACGATTTGTTTTTCTCCTCTAAGGCAGATCGAGAATTTGTTTCAGAATTTAATTTCTCCTTTATATCTTTAATTGTATTTTCATTTTCCACTTTCTCTATTTCTAGTTGACTCTTTAAATTTTCTGTAGATTTTACTCTCTCTTCAGAAATTTTCATTTGCTCTTTTAATTCATTCAATAATTTTTCGAAATTCTGTTTTTCGGTTTTATTTTCCATTTCCAAAGTTGTTAATTTTTCGGTTAATGAAGAAACTTCTTGTTGTGCTTTGGCTAAATCGTTTGTTAATTTATTTAATTCTTCAGTCTTTTGATGCAATGTGCTTTGAGCTTCTTTATTCTTCTCTAAAAATTGGATATGTTCTTGTTCCCTTTTTTCATAGTCTGCAATTTTATTGCTGAATTCTATAGTTTCATTGACTTTAATTTGAAGTTGATTTCTTGTTTCATTCTGTTCGGTTTCTAATTTTTCCTTGAGGGAATTTACTCGAATTATTTCTTGTTCGAGTGTTGACGATTTTGCTTCTGCTGTCGATAATAATTTTTCTAGTTCAAATATTTTTTCTTGTGACTTATCTAATTCCTTTTCTTTTTTTCGAAGATCCTCATTGTATTTTGTTAATTGCTGAGAAGAATCCGATGACGAACTTATCACATTTGCTATTTCCTCTTCCTGCAAATAAAAATGTTTATAAAATATAATAAAATTTTCTGTTTTGTATTTTTTTTTTTGTTATAAGGTACAAAATTTATTCATTACCAATTTTGCCTTTTGTTCTACTAATTGACCCAATTTCTCTTCATTCTGCTTAATTGTTTTATTCAAATCTTGAACATTAGTTTCATACATTGCAAGTTCACTTTCAAGATTGGTTTTCGTTTGTTCGAAAAATGTCAGAGCTTCTTTCAATTCTGTATAAAAGAAATTTGAAAATTATTTTAAATTCTGTACTTCAAAAATAGAAAACAATAGAAAAATTGGAAAATAGAAAAATAGAAAATAGAAAAATTGGAAAATGGAAAAATAGAAAAATAGAAAAATAGGAAAAATAGAAAATAGAAAAATTGGAAAATAGAAAAATAGAAAATAGAAAAATTGGAAAATGGAAAAATAGAAAAATAGAAAAATAGGAAAAATAGAAAAATAGAAAATAGAAAAATTGGAAAATAGAAAAATAGAAAAATAAAAAAATAGAAAATTGGAAAATAGAAAAATTAAAAATGAAACAATTGAAAAATGGAAAAAATAGAAATAATAAATACCTGTATTTTTCTCCAAAAGATTCTTGATTTCTTCGTCTTTATTGGCAATGATATTTCTAAGATTGTCAATTTCTTTCTCGAGATGATTGATTTTTAATGATTGTTGAGCAAAGTCGGTACTTATTTCCTGTATGTGCTTCAATTTATCATCAACTTCACGCTGAAGATTACATCTCACTTCCTCCACTTCCGTTTCTTTTGTACTTCGAAGTTTTTCTAATTCAGTCTCTTTTGTTTTTAAGTCTTGATCTAATTTTGTTAATTCTAATAAATTGTTTTCAAGTTGACTCGACAGTGCCGTTATCTTTTCTTCCTAAAAATTTAATATTAATTCATTATTAAATTATTATTAAAATTAATTAAATAATTAATAAAATGACAAAATTAATTAATTTTTTTCATTACCAAATCATGTTTTTCTTGAGAATTTTTAATATTATTTTCCACTAATTTTTCTTGCAGCTCTTTTATATTTTGATTAAGTACATTGTTGTTTTCTTCAGTTACTTTTAATTTCTCGAGGTACTCTAAAAATAGTTGTAATATTTTATTTTTAATTAGGAAAAAAAATTAAATTCAAAAATATATTGTATTGTATTGTATTGTATTGATTTGCATTGTTTTGTATTAAATTGAATTGTATTATATTCGAACCCACCGTTTGAATTACTCCTCAATTTTTCAATTTCACTATCAGAATTTTTTTGTTTTTCCTGCAAGAAATTCAAATCCGACATTAATTTATTAGTTTCGATCGTTTTCTGCTCCAATTGAGATGTAATTTCTTGTAATTTATTTTCTTTTTCCGTTAATTGTTCCTTGAGTATGTTTTCATGTTTTATGATAATATCTTCTTTCTCTATTTTATGCTGATTGGTGATTGTTTCGATTATTTCTTGCAATCTCTGAATTTCTTTATTCAAAGCTTCGGCATTAAGGGAATATTCTTTTTGCATTTTTTCAATAATTTCGCATTTTTCTTGTAGAATCCGTTGTCCTTCCTCGGCAGTTTTTTGCCACGATAAAGCCGATTGTTTACTAGAATCATTCTCCTCTTCTTTCTTGCCTAATGTTAATTTAATATTTTCTATTTCAACAACGTATTGTTGCATTGCAGAAACATTTTCTTCCATTTTTTTCTCAAGTCTACATTTTTCCTCCTCTAATTTTTTATTGTGCTCTAGTAAAACTGAATTAATTTTTATTAATTTATCTTTATTGTATGTTAATTGAATATTTTATGAATTACGATAATTTTTTATAAATTACGATTATTGTTACAAAAGATTTTATTTATTACATTTAATGCGAAAAAGAAATTTTTTTTTAATTTCAAAATAAATTTTATTCAGTGGAATAAAATAAAATTTTAAATTAATTAAAATAGAATTCAAATAGAAATAAATTTTTAAAAATTGAATAGAAAAAGATACCTTTCACTTCGTCTTTTTCTTGAAAAGCTTGAAGCTCAATACGAAGACGAGTTAATTCTTCTTCAGCTTCGAATAATTTGGAATTTTCCTTTTCAAGCAAAACAATTCGTTCCTTTTCTTCGGCAATTTGCTTCTCGAGTTCCTTGATTGTATTTTCATTTTTTGTATTTATTACCTGTTATAGAAAATGAATTTTTTTACTTGCCAAATTTTAGAGGTCTTCGCAGTGAAAATTTAATTAATATTGTTTATAACAGGGCTCGAACCAGTGAAAGTATTTAAAAACACGGACTTAACGGACCAAAAATGAAAAATTACGGACCAATTATTGACAAAAATATAACTAGTCCGGATCAAATAACAGAACATTTTGCTTCAAACTATAAATTAAAATTTTTCAAAACTATAATAATTAAACATGGCCCAGTGATAAAATCATTTATTGAAAATGCGTTGAAAATAATTGAATTTGTGGCGAAAAATTTTAATACTGACGAAAATAATTGAATTTTTTGAAAATAATAGATTTTCTTTAATAATTTTAACTGGAAATTTTCAAAGTACTTGCATTTTATAAAGAATTTCTTTCAAGTTTTTAAAATAATCGTATTTTTTAATAATTGAAATTAAACATTTAATTATTGAATTTTATTAAAATCTTTAAAAAATAATTAAATTCCTCTCAGAATTTTATTACAATTTTTCAAAATAATTTAATTAATTCAAAGAATTTTACTTAAATATTGAAAATAATTTAATTGTTTCGAAAAATATATACTTAAATATTCTTTTAAACAATTCTATTAGAGTTTTTCTAAAATAATGTAGTTCCATTAGTAATTTTAATTGAAAACTTTGAAAATAATTAAATTAAATTAAATAAACAATGTTCTTCAACTTTTGAAAATATTCGTGTCTGTTAATAATTATAATTAAAAATTTTATTATTGAATTTTATTGAGACTGTATTGAAAATAATTGAATCTCCAAGAAAAATTTAAAAATTTTTGAATATAATTGAATTTTTGCTAAGAATTTTATTAATTTTGAAAATAATTGAATTTCTGCAATAAAATTTGTAATTTCTCCAAAATTAAATTTTCTTTTTGTGGTTTTAACTAAAATTCATTTGTAAATCAATAATTTTTAATAATTTCTAAAAAGAATTATATTTACGAAAATAATTGAATCCCTGTAAAAATTTTATTTATGAAAATAATTGAATTATTTAAAAGAAATTTATAAAAAAAAATTAGTAAATAATTGAATTCCTGTGAAATTTTTATTATTTTATGAAAATAATTAAATTTTTGTGGAGATTTTTATTAAAAAATTTAAATAATTGAATCCATTTGGAAAATGTTATTAAAATAGTAAATATTGAAAATCATTGAATTAAGGAAATTTTTTGAAAATAATTGAATTTCTGCGAAGAATTTTACTACTTTTGAAAATAATTGAATTTTATGAACATTTAAAGGAATAATTCAATTATTTTGACTAATATTTAACTAAAAATAATTGGAATTCTGCGATTAGGTATTTATTCGAATATAATTGAATTTTTAAAAAGAATTTTATTTTTTATGAAAATAATTAAATGTTTGTGTAAATTTTTCTAGCAAATTTACGAACCTCTACGGAATTTACGGACTTAGTTCGAGCCCTGTTAGAATTATTTTCTATTAATTTCTCTTATTGAAGAAGAATATGCAAATAGGAAAATAATGAAATCTAATTTTAAAAAAACAATCGTACACATATTATGTATTTTCAATGATAATTAAATATTCTACAATACTAACTACAAAGAAATAATTACATGCACATGGTATAAAAAATAAATTAATATTCGTGATAACAATCCTACTTTGTATTAAAGAAAAACCTTTTTTACATTTTCGATTAGTAAATATGCATTTTTGTTTTGTTTTTCATTTTTTATACAAAAAGTTTAATATTTAGTTCAAATGGAATGCATTATATTTTCTTTATCATCAACATTTTTTTTTTCATCTACTTATTTAATAAATAGCAAAACAAAAACCAGCTTAACTGACGATAAAGCAGAAAGACAATTGTTTGTAACAATTCTTTTGATTTACACATTTTTTCCAAAAATAATTTTCTTGGACATGAGAAAAAAAAAGATATGAAAAATTAAAATAGAACAATTTTAGTAATGAAAGCGAATGAAAGCGATAGGAAATAGCTTATTGTAATAGTGAGATGGCAAGCTGAAGAAAAAGATTAACATGATGATAAGACAAGTAGAGCAGAAATACAGCATCAACACCTCCTCGGAACCAAAAGACTTCCTTTTGATACTCACGCTCTGTTCACTTTTCTGATTCTGAAAATAACATCAAATTTTATTTGCCATTGTGATTTATGAAAAAAAAAATTTTTTTTTATATATAAAAACAAAAGCTTTTCTATTAAACGCTAAAACCCTATTCCCCTCACTAAAAAAGCGAGTAATTTTTGCAAATAAAAAATTTTACATTTATGCCACCACCGTATTTTGTTAATATCTATTCGTTATTACAAGTTACACAAATAATTATAAGAATACTTAATTCAATCTGGTTTTTCACTTTTTAAATTTTCTGAAAATTCTCCAACAATGTTTCTAATTTTTAGTTTAATAGAAATTATTTTATTATTTTTTAATTACTATTTTTATTTTTTGCACCTAATGTACGGTGAGAAAATAAATTTGAATATTTTACCTGAATGTCATCCTTGTCAATAGATTCTTCTTCGTAACGAAATTGAAGATCTTCACATTTTCTCTTTTCTTCTTCTAATTGTGTGCCGAGGACACTTTTTTCCTTCATTAATTGTTCTAACGCACTTTGAGAATCGTGAATAGTTTTCTCCGTATCTTGTCGAAACTACGATGAAAAAATGAAAATTGTTTTATTTTCAACAATTAATAATGCGCCCAGAGAAAAATTTGCATTCAAAGTCAAATAAAATTTATTTCAGTCTTTATAAAAATATAGATTTGTCTCACAGTCTATTTAATTATTCATTTGTTTCGTATAAAAATTGTTTTCGACACAAATACAATTTTTCTTTGAACCAAATAAAATTTAATTCAACCAAATTAAATGTAATTGAAACCAAATAAAATATAATTGAACCAAATAAAATTAATTGAACCCAACAAAATTTAATTAAACCAAATAAAATTTTAATTGAACCAAATAAAATTTAATTGAACCCAAAAAATTTAATTAAACCAAATACAATTTTTCTTTGAACCAAATAAAATTTCAATTGAACCAAATAAAATTTAATTAAACCAAATACAATTTTTCTTTGAACCAAATAAAATTTCAATTGAACCAAATAAAATTTAATTAAACCAAATACAATTTTTCTTTGAACCAAATAAAATTTAATTGAACCCAATAAAATTTAATTAAATCAAATCAAATTTAATTAAACTAAAAAAAATTTTAATTAAACCAAATAAAATACATTTGAAGCAAATAATTATCTTAACTTCGCGAAAAATTATTAATTAATACTATTTAATTAATTAGTAATTAATGTTTTTATATAATTTCTGGAAGTTAAAAAAAAAATAACTAGAATTACCTTGTCATATTCTCGTTTTAAGTTAATTATCGATTGTTCAGCTTGATCTGCCTGATTAGCAGCTTTTGTAACTCTCTCGCGTTCTAAATTTCGTTCTTTACGCAGGGTCTCGATCTCCATTTGTTTCTCCTTCAGCACATCCTACAATTTCAATTTTTGTACCACACGAAAACTTCTTTTAATCAAAATAGAATTTAATATTTATTTAAATTAATTTTTTAATTTTTTTTAAATCGAAGAAGCAAAATATTATGTAGAATATTGTATTATATAAAAAACATTTCATAAATAATTTAGGAGCAACGAATCATGCAGACGCACATTGAAAAATCAAACATTAAATGACGTGCATAAAAATATGGAATATTTATAATCGCATTTTAAAGAATCATTTTATTGGTATAATTTTATTTTCATTTTCATAACAGTGCATGTTGCATGTAACAAATATTTTTAATTTTTTAATAATAAAATTAATACCCTAATTTTTAATTCCTTTCATTTTGTATAGAAGAGAATTTTTATTTTATTAATTATTACTAGTTAATTATTAATTATTAATCTTCATTATTTAATTAATAACCTTTATTTATTATTAATTATTAATTTATTTATTAATTTTATTATCAATAACCTTTATTATTAATCTATTTTCTTAATCTTTACTTATAATAAAATTACCCTGGATTTATTTAAAGCTATAATACATTAAGAATTATTTTATTCATTTTTCCCACTTCTATCACTTTATATTTATTTTAATAATGCAAAAAGAACAATTTACTGTCGCAAAAATTATTATTTATTTTTCCACAAAAAATAAATTTAAAAAATTTGAATTTCAGTAATAGATCAAATAATATTAACTATATATTAAATATAATGAAAAAATTAAGAATGACTTTTGTCAATTTTAATTTATTATTTTAATGAAAAAAAGGACAATTTACTTTAGGAAAAATTTAGAAATTAAAAAATTTGATATTTTTTTCGTGTAGGATTTATTTTTTATAATTATAAAAACTGTGTGTTATAAAATATCTCACCTGCAGTGAAGTTCGAGCAGGTGGTTTGACATACATAGAGGTTCTCTGGAATGTTAGACAAATTCAAAATAACGTGGATCATGCAAATTTAGGAAAAAACAAATCATATCTACAGTAATATTAAATATATTGCATGCAAATTTCAAAACTACAGTACCTACACCTAATAATAACAATTTTATTCAAACTAAAACGCATTTTATATTAATAATACTTTTATTTAATGTACTGAAATCAGGCCACAGACTCAATTTAGAAATAAAAAAAAAATATCATCAAAAGTGTCATTTTGCAATTTTAGTAATAAGTTGCAAATATTCGTAAAATTTATTTTACATAAATACATGCCTCGCACTCATCTACTAAAACCTACTATTTACTACTTTTTTACTATTTTCAATTTGTTAACAGTTGAAATAAAAAAATTATTTTAAAAAATTTTAATAAAGTTATAAGAAAAAATTTAAAAAATCTTTATACAATTCTTTAAAACAATTCATTATTATTTTTACAAACTTTTCCTAATTGAATTGAATAATTTAAAAAAATATTTTTAAAATTCTTCGCAACCATTCGATTATTTTCATAAATAAAAAGAAAATTTCACATGAATTATTCAAAAAAAGAATTTTCCTTATATTTTTCGAAAAAATCAATTATTTAAATAGATTTTTATAAAATTTTTCGAAAAAGTTCAATTATTTTCTCAGATAACAAAATTATTGCCTGGAATTCAATTATTTTCGGAAATTTTTTTTAAATTCTTGGCAAGAATTCAATTATTTTTATAAATAATAAAACTCATTACAGACTTTAAATTATTTTTGATACAATTTTCAATGAATTCCGCGAAAAATGCAATTATATAACATGATTTTGATATATGTAATTTGTTTATTAGAATTAAATAATTATTTTCAATTTAATTTTTAATTATATTTCTTGAAAGAATTTAATTATTTTAAAAAATTTTAATGAAATTCTTCGGAAAGAGGACATTTTCTTCATGGATAATAAAATTATTCGCAGGAATTCAATTATTTTCAGAAATTTTTATAAAATTCTTCGCAAAAATTCAATTATTTAAAAAAAATCAATAAATTTCCCAAGAATTCAATTATTTTTTAAAAATTTTAATAAAATTTTTTGCAAAAATTCACTTATTTTCATAAATAATAAAATTTATCGCAGAAATTCAATTATTTTTAGAAATTTTTATAAAATTCTTTGCAAGAATTCAATTATTAAAAAAAAAATTAATAAACTTCCCAAGAATTCAATTATTTTTAAAAATTAATAAAATTTTTCTCTGGAATTCAATTATTTTTTTTTTAATAAAATTCTTCGCAAGAATTCAATTATGTTTATAAAAAATAAAATTCTTCTCCAGGAATTCAATTATTTTTATAAATATGAAAACTCATCACTGGATTTCAATTATTTTTAATACGATTTTAAATAAATTGCGCGAAAAGTGTAACTGTTCTTAAAATTTTTAATAAAATTCTTCGCAATAATTCAATTATTTAAAAAAAAATATGATATAATTTGTTTCTTAGAGTTTAATAATTATTTTCAATTTATTTTTAATTACATTTCTTGAATGAATTCAATTATTTTCAATTCATTTTTAATCACAATTCAATTTTAGACATTCAATTATTGTTAAAAATGCTGATAAAGTTCTTTATAAGAATTGAAATTTAAGAAATATTCAATTTTTCAGATAATTTATTTATTATTTAAATAATTGAATTCTAGTAGAACTTTTTAATAAGAATTGATTTAGAATTGAATAAAATAAAATAATTAAAGTTTTGAATAATTTTATTTATAAATTTTTAGAAAAAAATTATTAAATTTTTTGAAAGAATTACTTTTGTAATTTTTATAAATAGTTCAATTTCAAAAATGCGGTACATTGAAATCATTTGAAATATTTTAATTCCTGTAGACAAAATAAATCCTAGATATTTAAATATTTATTTTGAAAAATTATTCTATTTTTAAATGTATTTAAGAAATTATAAAAAAAAATTGAGTCAAGTTTAATTTTTCGATAGCTACTTTTTGACTACTTTTTTCTGTCTTTAAGCTACTTTTTGCTACTTTTCTAAAATTAATTATCGAGTACGAAGCCTGTAAATATCAAAAAGTTTTTAAGGAATAAAATGTTGGTTTAATTTCTCCACTTGAGAACGCCAAGGTCACCACCAGATGTCAGTAAAAATTCCAAGAAGGAACTGAACTGTCATCTAGCGGTGACCTTGACGTTCGCAGGTGGAGAGTGGCACCTCCATATTGAATCTCGAGATATTCGGAAATAATCGTAATTCTAAAATTATTTATAATCGAGTTTATATTTTATAATCAGAAATTGAACCTAGAGAGTTTGACAATTAACCTTCATATCGATAGGGTTTTAATTTCCTGCAAATTCAAATTTTCCGAGCGTTGCAATTTTTACCTACTATTATAGAATAACCCCTATTAAATTCTACAAATACTACAATGCTTAATAGATAATAGTTTAGATCTTAGAATAATCTACCTTACAGAATTCAAAGTCTACAATACCAAGGATAGTTTTGGGATAATTTGTATATTTATTTCTACAATATTGGATAGGATTTTAGGATAAATTACCAACATATGTCAACTTTATTATCTCTCTTTCTCTAAAACAGTAGAGTTAAAAATAATATTTATAAATTCACAGAAAATAAATAGAAAAGCATGCACAAATCCAAACGACTACTTCTGTAAATATAAATAGCAATGAAGCACACAAACCAATCTATAGATAAGGATTTTTGGAAACATCATATACAATTATTTTTCTGCTATTCATCCGGCATGACAAATCTTACCCTGGATGTTGAAGAGACACTTTTCGCTGCAGCAGCAACACTTGCCGTTGTACTCGTCGAGAGGAGAGATTCTCTCGAACCCAATTTTCTTAAAGATGTATTTAATGCAGCCCCCGATGGTCTATGAACGATGCACATTCCTGCTTTCTTGTTCGACGGTGATCGACTTACTTTGTGTACTGGTGCAAATAGACCGTATTTTGGACGGCACTCAAAGTACCTATTAAATAGTGTTTACAGTTTAAGTGTCTATAGTGTCATTTGCGCTCGATTTTCGTGTACCTAATTATGTTCCTTATACTCAATTTTCGTATAATTCTGTGTACCTTACTTTTTATTTTTTTCACTCAAAAAAAAAAAAAAACAAAAAAAAAACAAAAATGTATCAAAAGTGTTGTGGTGCAACACTTTTGATATGTTTTTATTTCTATTTGATTTCTTTAGAAAACAACAACAGCAGAGGGTTAAAAATTAAAGATTAGTGTAGTTTCGGATGCAGTAACAGATTCTATTCGGCTTCGAATTTTTTTTGTTTTAAGTAAAAGAGAAAAATGATTTGAATTGAATGTAAAAAATGTCTAAATAGTGTTGTAGGATTTGAAATAAATCGAGAAATGAGATAAACCACAAAACCTCTTATTATCGACTGATCCGTCATTCTTTCCACAAGGTTCATCCAGTTCAACTCCACACCATTCTCCGGGTGCGAATTCAGTTGTGCCCAGATACCTAAGAACTCCTATTTTACTCCCTTGGCTAGAGGATATTATAACTCTCTCTCCTGTCCGAAGGTCTTTGTGAGTTACCGATGAAAGGCTTGTGGTGGATGTGTCTGCACAATTTAGTGTTTTTTCTGTGTTACCTATGTGTACTATTTTTTTTTTCTTTTTAAACTTTTATGGCAATTGTACGATTGTATCATATTTTTAAGAAAACAATTTGTAATTTTTATTCAATTTCGTTTACATTCATTTATATTCAATTGTATTCAATTATATTCAATTACATTCAATTACATTCAATTACCAGGGCTCGAATTAGGTCCGTAAATCCCGTAATTTTTTTCAAGTCCGTAAACGTTAGTATTTTTTATAAAAAGGTCCTTAAGTCCGTAATTTTATAGAAAAAGGAAAAATAGTTCGTAAATTGTACGATATAATTTGGATAATTTGAGAGAAATTACAAGAGTAACAAATAATTGCAGAAATTCAATTATTTTCAAAAGTAACCAAATTCTTCTCTGAAATTCAATTATTTTCAAAACTTTAAATGAAATTCAAGACAAAATTTCAATTATTTAAAAAAATTTCCTCAATTCAATAAATTTTCAATTTTTACTATTTTAAAATGAAATTTTCCAAAAAATTCAATTATTTTCAAAAATTTTAATAAAATTCTACGCAAACATTTAATTATTTTCATAAAAAAAAAAAAAATTCTTCTTAAGAATTCAATTATATTTGAATAAATACCTAATCGCAGAATTTCAATTATTGTTAGTACTATTTTAATTATTAAATTAGTCAAAATAATTGAATTATTCCTTTAAATTTTCATAAAATTCTTGAAATAAAATTCAAGTATTTACAAAAATTTTATTAAAATCCTTCGCAAGAATTCAATTATTTTTCTAAATAATAAAATTTTTAACAGGAATTCAATTATTTGAAAAAACTGTAATAAAATTCGTTACAAGAACTCAATTATTGTCAAAACTTTTTAAAAAAATTTTTCGCAAAATTTTAATTGTTTTCAAAAATTTTCCTCAATTCAATGATTTTCAATATTTACTATTTTAATAAAATTTTCTAAAAGAATTCAATTATTTAAACAAAATTTTAATAAAATTCTCCGCAACATTTAATTATTTTCATAAAATAATAAAAATTTTACAGGAATTCAATTATTTACTAATTTTTTATAAATTTCTTCGAAATAATTTAATTATTTTCATAAATATTAAAATTTTTACAGGGATTCAATTATTTTCGTAAGTAAAATTCTTTTTAGAAATTCAATTATTTTCATAAATAATAAAACTCAATGCTGAATTTCAATTATTTTTAATATAATTTTTTATGGAATTCTTCTAAAAGTGTAATTATTTTTAAAACTTTTATTGAAATTCGTCGAAAGAATTCAATTATTTAAAAATTTGTGATAAAATTCTTTATGAGAATACAATTCTTCAATAAATTATTTTTTTAATTAAATAATTGAGTTCTAGTAGAATTTTCTAATAAAAATTGTTTTAAAATATGAATTTTACTTAAAATTTTAGAAATAATTGAATTTTGAAAAGGTTTTAAATTAAAATCTTTGAAAACTTGGATTTTTTAAAATTTTTATTACTTCTAAAATAATTGAATTTTTGTGATGAATATTGTCATTTATGAAAATAATTGAAATTGAATTTCACTTAAAATTTTAAATTACAATTGAATATTAAAATCATTATAGCGTAAATTTTTAGAAATAATTTAATTTTGAAAAGTTTTCATACTAAAATCTTTAAAAATTTGAATTTTTCATACTTTTAACTAACAATTCTGTAAAAGAATTAATTTTTCTGTAAAATTTTTTTTCAATTTTACTTGCAATTATTTTTTTTATGTTTTTAATTTCAAATATATATTTAATTGAAAAATTACCAAATAATTGAAATTTTGTAAAATTGAATTGTAAACAAATGAATTTGAAAATTCTCAAAGAACTTTTTTAAAAATTATTAAAAATAATGGATTTATAGAAGAACTTTAGTTAAAAACACTAAAAAAAATTTTATTTTGGAGAAATTACAAATTATTGCAGAAATTCAATTATTTTCAAGAATAATAAAATTCTTCACAGAAATTTAATTATGTTCAAAAATAATAAAATTCTTTTTGGGAATTCAATTATTTTTATAAATAATAAAACTCATCGCAGAATTTCAATTATCTTTACCTAATACAATTTTAATTAAATTTTTCGAAAAATGTAATTATTCTTAAAATTTTTATTAAAATTCGTCAAAAGAATTCAATATTTTAAAATTTTTTTGATAAAATTCTTTATGAGAATTGAATTTTAAGAAACATTGAATGATTCAATAAATTATTTATTTTTGTATTTAAATAATTGAATTCTAGCAGAATTTTCTAATAAAAATTTATATAAAGATGAATTTCAGTTAAAATTTTATATAATTAAAAATATTAAAAGCTATATAGCGTGAATTTTCAGAAATAATTGAATTTTGAAATTAATTTTTTTTTAAAAAGTTTAATTGAATTTTTTTAATATTATTTCAAGTTTTTATTTTCTAATATTTATTTAATTGAAGAATTTACGAATAATTGAAAGTTCGTAAAATTGAATATCGTAAACAAATGAATTTGAAAATTGTCAAAGAACTTTTTCGAAAATTATTAAAAATAATTGATTTAAAGAAGAATTTTAGTTAAAAATTCTTGAAAATAATAATTGAATTGAAATGAAGAAAATAATTTCAAAGAAGTACAATATTCTTAAAATATAAAATAATGATTTTATCACTCGGTCGTCTTTAAATATTATAAAACATGAAAAAATCGATCACTCCGAGTCGAAGACTCGGAGTTATCGATATCTTCATGTTTTATAGTTTTTAAAAAAATTTATAGTTTTAAGTAAAATGTTCTCTTATTTGACTCGGACTATTTTTATTTTTTGTCACTAATTGGTTCGTAATTTTTTCATTTTTGGTCCGTAGTCCGTATTTTTAAATACTCTTACTGGTTCAAGCCCTGAATTACTATTAAAATTAGAAAAAATTCCATTACAATACATTAATTTTGTATTTAGAAAAAGCAACATTTAGAAAAATAAGATACAATCATACAATTCGATAAAAATCAATTTAATTTGCATTACTTAAATCGACTTAAGACTCGCTCTCTTTTGGCCATTTTTGAGAGCTGGTTTCTAAGTCGAATTAAGGAACACAACGATTATCTATAAATGTAATTATTTAAAACAAAACACCAAAGCCAAAAAATCTACAAGACTACTTAAAAACTACGATTTCACCAAACATAAAAAATTTTATTTTCAGTTTCTTTCGCTTCACTTTATAACTTTTCTTTTTAATTGCGTGCCTCTTAAGATTTTATACTGTGATTGAATGTGTCAGTGATTATTATACTTAATCTAACATCAGTTATTTTACTCTACAATCGACTCCTTATATTAAATGTAAAAATTACTATTTGGAAAAAATTTAAATATTAATTTAAAAAAGCACTAGTTTATAAGTTTAAAAAATACTGATATATTATTTTTATTAAAAATACTTATTAGTGTATATACACTATACTAAACTAGTAAGTAAACTAAAAATATTAAGTAAACTATATAAAAATATTAAGTAAACTATATAAAAATAGTAAGTAAACTTTACAAAAAAGTAAGTAAACTATATAAAAATAGTAAGTAAACTTTACAAAAAAGTAAGTAAAGTATATAAAAATAGTAAGTAAACTATACAAAAAATTGAGTAAACTATATAAAAATAGTAAGTAAACTATACAAAAAAGTAAGTAAACTATAAATGTATAAATTAGTTGATAAAAAATAAATTATTTTATAAAAAATAAATTATATAGGTACGAAATAAAAATATTAAGTTGAAATTTTGAAAATATAAAAGAAGAAGTAGAAGTCATTCGCATTAATTAAGAAGAATAATTACTACAAACTGAAAAAGATACTGCATAAAAATATGCAATAATTAAAAAAGCTGACAACCTTATAAATACAATTTTTTGACTCTCCTAAAATTTTCAACTTTCAATTGAACGAAATTTGTTTCCCTTTACAAATATTTTCAACAACTGTACTGTAATAATAAAAAATAATGTAAAAATTTTTATACTTATCAAAATAAAAGAGAAACAAAAAAAATAATTTTTTTTTTTTGAATTTAGAAAAATAAATGTTAACAGAAGTACTAAAAATACATTTTTTTCGTTCATATTTGAAAGTTTAAAAATTTTAGGAACATTTTTCTTTAAAATAAAATAAAATTCGAGAGAATATTAATTTTTCTGCTGGACAGAGAGAAATGTGGAAGCAGTACTACTTAATATTTAGCGATAAAACTACGATAAAAATATAACAATATTAATAATTAATTTGAAAAGTCACGCTCCACTTTACATGCGCTTTGTACAGTATTTGGTACGTGTCTTACTTAGCGAGGGAGACATGGATTGGTTGAAGGAGTATCTGGTACTTTCAGTCGGTGATGTTGGAGATGTTGTGCAGGCATCACGAGATAATGGTTGTCGTGTGAGTCGAGATAATCGGGAGAAAATACCACGTTTTGGTTCGCATTGAAAATACCGACAACCAGCCACTGAACCATCATTTTTCCCTAAAAAAAATATATTCACTTTTTACTTTATAGAATTTATTGGAGAATTTCTGCGTATAAATTTTACTATAAAGAATAAATTCTTAATAAAAAAAAATTGTATTATTATTATTTATTTTTATTTATTTTTTTCTTTTTTTTTTTTCTTTTTTGAGTATTAAAATACTCATTTTATATTAAAAATTAAAAATTACCGATTGGCTCATCGAGAACAATTCCAGCCCAATCCCCAGGGGCAAATTGTGTTTCTCCGATGTATGCAATTTGTCCAGGTTTCGTTCCACCGACCCATACTCGATCACCTATTATAAAGCTGTCTGTGTCTTCCGTTAGGACCACACTATTATCTATTTTGAAATTAAAAATATTTTCATTAGCACACATTAATATATTGTTTAAAATAAAAATAACGAAATTAGTAGAATTAAATTTAAATAGCAAAACTAATTAAATAGAAAGATTAATTTTTTTTTTATTGCTTTTACTCAATAAAATTAGAATCTGAATTTTTGTTTCTTTTTGGAGAGGAAATAAAAAACCGAAAAAAACCTACCTGATCCCCTTCTTAAACCCGCCTCACTCAAACGGCGACCATGCGTTTCCCAAAGGTGCTCCATGAGATCTGACGTATCATGCAAACACAATACATTTCAACTAAAAGCAATGCATAAGCGCACTCAAAAGAATCTAGTGCTTAAAAATACAAATAAATTACCAATTTTTTACAAACAAAAAAAAACCCCCTACGTATTTCTACTCTAAAGACATTTACATTCTTCTTGCAGAAGACAATCTAAAATTGCATCTGATTAAGTTGCTACAATGAGAAAAAAAAACTATTGGCCAAATAACGCCAATGCTATTGAATTCAATTTTTTTGAAGCAATACTTTTTTAGATTAATAACACTAAAAGCTACTTTTTTCTTTATTTTTGGGATTTGCATCACTTTAAATTTCCTAATGGTTGAAATAAAAAAATAATTCTAAAAATTGTAAGAAAATTGAAATCCTTTAAAACGATTCAATTATTTTCAAAACATTTTTGAAAATCAATGATTTTCAATATCTATACAATTTTAAAAAAATAACACAAAAGACTTTTGATAAAATTCTTCGCAAACATTCTATTTTTTTAAAAGTAGTAAAATTTTCACAGAAATTAAATTATTTAAAATATTTCATAAAATTTTGCCAAAAAAAAATCAATTTAAAAACTTTTTATAAAATTCTACAGCAATAATTTAATTTTTTTATTATAAGCATTAAAATTTTTCAGAAAAATTCAATTATTTATAAAAATTTTAATAAAATTCCAGTGAAGAATACAATTATTTTCGTATTGATAATAAAATGTTTCTCAAGAATTCAATTATCTATTTTTAAAAATTTTAATAAAATTCTTCAAAATTATTCAATTATTTTTCCAAATAATAAAATTTTCCACGAGAATTTAATTATTTACAAAGAATTAAATAAAATTCTTCTCAGAAATTCAATTATTTTTTAAAAAATTGATAAATTCTTTCTTCAAATCTTCAAAATATGAATTTGAAGAAATAATTTTCAAATTAAAAAAAAAAAATAATTGAATTTTGCAAAAAATTTTATTTAATTCTGTCTAAATAATTCAATTCTTGTGAAATATTTTATTATTTGGGACAATAATTTGAAGAAAGATGAATTTATCAATTTTTTTGAAAAATAATTGAATTTTTGCAAAGAATTTTATTTCATTCTCTTTAAATAATTAAATTCTCGTGAAAAATTTTATTATTTGGGAAAATAATTGAATAATTGTGAAAAATTAAAGAAAGAATTAAGGAATTTATCAATTTTTTAAAAAATAATTGAATTTCAAAGGAGAATTTTATTTTTATTCAATTATTTTCCCAAATAATAAAATATTTCACGAGAATTGAATTATTTAAAAGAAATTAAATAAAATTCTTTGCAAAATTCAATTATTTTTCAAAAATTAATAAATTATTTCTTTAATTCCTCACAATTATTTAATTATTTTCCCAAATAAAATAAAATGTTTTACGAGAATTCAATTATTTAAAAAGAATTAAATAAAATTCTTTGCAAAAATTCAATTATTTTTCAAAAAATTGATAAATTCTTTCTGCAAATCTTCAATTATTTAATTATTTAATTATTTTCCCAAATAATAAAATTTTTAACGATTATTATCAATTATTTAAAAAGAATTGAATAAAATTCTATGCAAAAATTCAATTATTTTTTAAAAATTTGATAAATTCTTTCTTCAAATCTTCAAAATATGAATTTGAAGAAATAATTTACAAATTAGAAAAAAAAATAATTGAATTTTGCAAAGAATTTTATTTAATTCTTTTTAAATAATTGAATTCTCGTAAAACATTTTATTATTTGCGAAGATAATTTGAAGAAAGAATTTATCAATTTTTTGGAAAAATAATTGAATTTTTGCAAAGAATTTTATTTAATTCTCTTTGAATAATTAAATTCTCGTGAAAAATTTTATTATTTGGAAAAATAATTGAATAATAGTGAAGAATTAAAGAAAGAATTTAAGAATTTATCAATTTTTTAAAAAATAATTGAATTTTTAAGAAGAATTTTATTTTTATTCAATTATTTTCCCAAATAATAAAATATTTCACGAGAATTGAATTATTTAAAAAAAATTAAATAAAATTCTTTGTAAAATTCAATTATTTTTCAAAAATTGGTAAATTATTTCTTCAAATCTTCACAATTATTCAACTGTTTTTCCCAAATAATAAAATTTTTTACAAGAATTTAATTATTTACAAAGAATTAAATGAAATTCTTCTTAGAAATTCAATTATTTTTTTAAAAAATTGATATATTCTGGAATTCTTTCTTTAATTCTTCACAATTATTCAATTGTGTTCCCCAAATAATAAAATTTTTCACGAGAATTAAATTACTTAAAAAGAATTAAATAAATTTCTTCTCAAAAATTTAATTATTTTTCAAAAAAGTTGATAAATTCCTTTTTCAAATCTTAAAAATTATTTAATTATTTTACCAAATAATAAAATTTTTCACGAGAATTCAATTATTTAAAAAAAAAATTAAATAAAATTTTTATCAAAAATTCAATTATTTTTAAAAAAATTGATAAATCCTTCCTTCAAATCTTCACACTTTTTCAATTATTTTCCCAAATAATAAAATTTTCCACTAGAATTCAATTACTATAAAAAATTAAAGAAAATTATGTGGTAAGATTCAATTATATTCATAAATATTTAAATTCCTCTCAGAAATTGAATTATTTTTAAAAAAATTGAATTATTCTTTATAATAATTAAATTAATTGTAAATAATTATTAAAACTCTAATAAATAAATTCTATTAAAATAATTGAAATCCTGTGAAGAATTTGATTAATTATGAAAATAATTGAATTCTTGCAACGAAATTTATTAAAAATTTTAAAATAATTGAATATCAAAGAAGAATTTTATTTTTTACGAAAATAATTGAAATTTTACCAGGATTTTTTTTTCAAATTTTTGAAAATAATATTGAATAGTTGAAGAAGAATTTTATTACATATTTACAGAAATAATTGAAATTTTAACGAGATTTTTATTAAAATTTTTGAAAGTAATTGAATTTTGGAGAAAAATTTGATTATTTATAAAAATAATTGAAATTTTGACGAGATTTTTATAAAAATTTTTGAAAATAATTGAATTTTGGAGAAGAATTTTATTATTCATAAAGAGAATTGAAATTTTGACGAGAATTTTCTTTAATTTTTTAACATAATTAAAATTAATTAATCTATAAGAATTAAATTTTGAAAAACATTCAATTATTCAATATATTATTTATTTTTGTATTTAAATAGTTGAATTTTAATTGAACTTTCTAATAAGAATTGATTTATAAACGAATTTCAGTTGAAATTCTATTTGTTTACTTTTAAAAATCCCTTTAAATACAATTGTATTTTTTAGGATAAAAATTTCAGTACATGCTATTGAATTGATTTAATTATATAGCTATATACGAAATGCATTTCTTGATATTGTAGATTTTTTTTTTATTTGATAATAATTTGTGTATTATTTAACACTATAAGACTATAACTTCTGTAGGTGATAATATAATACAAGATTTATTGAAATCCATAGTGCAATAATCAATAGCAGATGTTATTAAACCAATAGATAACATTTTTTTCTCAGTGTAGAATTATTCGAAATATACAAATTACGTCTTAGGGTTGGGCGAACGATAACTAAACATTTATTGTTCGGTTACATTACATTGAATCTTCATTTAATGCTAGAATTATTACAGATTCAAAGTCTTTGAAATGATTATGTAAAATGTCAATTATTAAGATTGGGTTCTACAATAAGAATAGAATAAAATACATAAGGTACATATTTACAGATGTATATAATAGAAACACTGGAACTTTGTATTATTTAACTACATACTATTGCGTATATACGTGTATATAATGCGTATTTATAAATGTGATGTGTACTTTTGAGAGTGATCTAAGTATGCAAATACATAAAAACAAAGCAACAATGAAAAAAATTATTAACAGAATCTGAATCACCGTCGTCCCTTTTTTTCATTCATGCGAGGTTATATTTAGTTAAGAGATGATCAAACAAACTTCCTATATTGCGATAGAATATTATGCTTAATGCGAGAGAGATAATTCCTTAAAAATGGTATTTCCGGGTCTCTGTGTCATTAATTATTTATGCCTATTTATTAACGCTTGTAGGAGGAACGGTTGCACAGTAGGTGTTCCACTACGAAACATTGCTTTTTACAATAGTTATTTTTCAAGTTATTTCTCAAAAAAAATTGTTATTCTTAAATATTCAACAATTTTTAGTTCATTGTGGAAAAATACCTTTTTTATTGAATTAAAATCAATATAAATATGTTAGTGATATTTAATAAACTTTTTTTTCTTTAAATTATTTAAGTGAATTTAAAAAATTCAAATAATTCAATTCTTCAAAAAAATTTTAATAACTATTTTTCAGAAGACTAATTTTTTCATAATTTCTCAATTAAATTATACGAAACTCGAATAATTTTTGTTAAATACATATTTACTTATTTATTTCTCCGCACAAGAAATAATATTTTCAAAAATTGCAATGTAAAATCTTTTTGAAATTTAATTATTTCCAAAAAAAAATTGCAACTGCGTAATTCTTCCAAAATACAATCATTTTTTCAGAAGTTTCAAATAAAATTATTCAAAACTTTTATAACTGTTTTTGAAAAATAATAAATAATTAATATTTTATAATAAATATTAAAATATTGTTACAGTTTTACAACAATTTAAATTTTCAGAGTCCAGACAATTTAAAAACATTTGACATTTAATTATTTTCAAAAATTCACACCATGACAATTCAATTCAATTATTCAATTCAATTATCATTTAAAATTTTATCTGAAATTAATTTTTAAAGCAGTTCTTCTTAGAAATTTCAACGAGAATTCAATTATTTAAATACAAAAATAAAAGATTTATTGAATAATTAAATACTTTTTAAAATTGAATTCTCATGAAGTATTTTATCAAAATTTTTAAATATAATTGAATTCTTTAT